GGAGTTTTGGTCGGGATACCATTCTTAAAGATATATATATATATATATATATATATATTTCATGTCGTTTCACAAGACACGCGATAGATTGTACACTTGAATGGATACACGAGCATTGTGTCCTGCTAGAAAATCCAGCCTTTATCATTGTTTTCTTTCACCGCATTAAATTTTTTTCCCCCCTCTATAAGAATCAACGTATCTCCGTGTTATATTTTGCGTGCAATGCACTTCTATTTTTTTCCTAAAAAAAAAAAGAGATATTTCTATCTTGGATGCGCAACATTTCCGAACGGAAAACGCGAGGAAGACGCGCACGTTTCGTTCATCTCCCTTCCCGTAATTGGGCGCGGAATCCGAGGGGCGTAAATTAGTTTATCGCGGACAAGGTTTCCGTTTAAGCGCCTCCCCTCCCCCCTTTCACGTGGTGGAATTCCACGCGCACGTTTAGGCGCAGTGGAGTGCCCCTTTTTGCCGGTGGCCGTGATCTTTTGTTTACCGCCGTACAAGGGATGCGCCATAATTTTCTCGGGAGAAGGAGCGCGTTCACGTGGGCGCAGATAGGAAGGAGACGGAGAGCTGGTCGACTCGAGCCTCCTCTCCATAAAGCAGAGCGAATTCTCGTTCGTTCTTGCCCGCGAAGCCCGGATGATCGCCTCGTTTCGTGATTGCACACGCGCGTTGGAAAATGATCGCCAGCCACGTAGGGAACGAAGACGTATCGCTGCTCTTCTTTGCCTCCTCTTTTTTTTCTTTCCCCCCTTCCCCGCACGAAAGTTTCTTTTAACACGCGTTTTGAATTTTTACGCGTCTCGTGTAAAGATTGTGTGTGTGTAGAGATTTAATTTGATTCTATTTCGAATTTCGATAGTGGACGAAATTTCGTAACCTCTTCAATGATTCTCTTCCAGGTAAAGAATTAATTTCTTTTCGGTTTCATTATGTATTGTACATGGAATGGATTGGTTAGAAACTGGAAGGCGTATTATATTAATACGTTTATTCTTAACGTTAGTTGTTTCTCGAGCATAGTTGTTTTTGAAATTTCTAATCGTCGATTGTTCTCTGAATTATTTAAAATTAACGTTCCAGAAAAGGATTTCCTCGGATAAATCTGATTGCATCAATATCCTATGCGCGGAACAACATAGAAACGTGGAAACGTAGACGTTTTTTTAGATCTAATACGTTTCGAAACCTCCATTTCGACAGTCATACTTTCGATTATGATTCGTCGTGATCGCGATAATTATACAAAACGTCGAACGTCAATATTTCCAGATTTTAAGTTTGGAAAATTCTTTTGAAAACTTATAAAATTTTAAGTTTCACTTTAAATATTCAAATATATTATTCGACAGTCATATTTTCGACTATGATTCGTCGTGATCGCGATAATTACACAAAACGTCGAACGTCAATGTTTCCAGATTTTAAGTTTGGGAAATTCTTTCGATAATCTCTGAAAATTTATAAAATATAAAATATAAATATAAAATTTTAAGTTTCACTTTAAATATTCAAATATATTATTCGACAGTAATATTTTCGATTATGATTCGTCGTGATCACGATAATTACACAAAACGTCGAACGTTAATGTTTCCAGATTTTAAGTTTGGAAAATTCTCCTGAAAACTTATAAAATTTTAAGTTTCACCTTAAATATTCAAGTATATTATTTACACAAGGAATTAATTAACACAGTAACGTATAATGATTTCTTTTCTTCTCTCGTTTCATAACTCGCGTATTCTCACGTATTCCCCACGCGTTTCTTAAATCTCACGTTCATCAAATCGTTTCTACAAAACGAGACCGTATATTATAAACGAGCCACGCTTTGTTCCAAGTATCCAAAATACGTTCTCGATTGGAGGGCACGTTCGTTGGTTAATTAATCACCGCGGAAATCTGGGTCGTCGCGCATCAACCCAGGTGAAATTTCTTCAGTTGTCGAACCGTCGGACGACAGCATCGATCCCATGTAACATTTCAACTTAGCGTCGTGGCGAGAGGAAAAACTGCTCGAAGTTAGTTAGTTAATTAGTTAGCCTCTCGTTTCCCTCCTCGTCCAGCCGCCAACTTTCGTAAACGAAAGTGACGCGTGCGTATTCATTTCGAGGGCCCTGATTTTTTTTTCAAAGATATATTAAATAATTGTGTAACAGAATGATTACAAGATATATAAATTCTCTCGAATGTATTTATTTTAAAGAAAATTTTTGTCAATTCTTTCTTTTCTCTTTCGAGAACGAGAATTTGGAATTGTGTATTTCAAAATATCGGTTTAAATCCGCCGGCTTCCGTTCGTCGACGGAAGCGATTTCCGTGGAATAATGGATCGTGAAAGAGGTTCATTAACATATTTCCAAGGAGAACGATCTGTCGAAGGCGCTTTTCCCCTTCCATCGGGAAATAGTAGAAGAAACGTGGTCACCTCTGACCTGACGCGTAGCTTGAAAAATAACTTTTTCTTCAAACGTTTGCTTTCATCTCGCAGGTGTAATGTAACGAGGTGTTTGCTTTGATTTGCCGTATCGTTTATTATCGTTAAATTATCACGATGAACCATCGATGATGTATGATTAATACGGGAAGGAAAGTAGGCGCATTCGCTATTTTTTTCGGGCATAAGTTTATATATTTCAATAAGACGTTGATATCAGATGGAAATGATAATTAATGAGTGTAGATAGGAAAGAATTTTTGGATCTTTCTTCCCCTCTTCTCCATTTCTCCTCTCTAGAGGAATTCAATCTCGTGGATAAAGGGGCTTCAAATTAATCGAAAAACAACGATCATTTAATAAGATCGTAATCGTAAAGTTTTCTCCGATGCAAGTGAATTCTTCGATAAAAACTCTGAAAACTCTTGGATAAAGCAAGAGCTAACTTCTAATCATCGCGGTGTTATTAATTTTTTTCTTTCTTCTTTTTTTAATTTTATATCCCTCGATAAGAACATTAATATATTTTTTTCGGAATTCGATTTACGATATCGTAATTATATAACGAGAAATTCCTAATTACTATACTTTCATCCATCGTTTCCGTTTTATAATATCGTATCTTGGCCAATAAGAGGGTTTTCATTTAACTCTAAACCCATCTCGATACCCATTCACAATATCATATCCCCGACCGCAACGACTTTCATCTATCGTCTCGATTCCTCCTCATCGCCTCATCCGTTAAGCGAATTCTCCGCCAATTTTAAAAACCTTCCACTAATATCACGTTGATTTCTAATCGGAATGATCGAAAATTTTCCAATTCTCTTCAAGAAGTCGATTCTTCGGGGTTAAAACTCTGAAACAACATCCTTAAAATTCCATTTTCCATTCCCCCTTTCCATCGAAAATTTTCAATCGTTTCATCCATTATCTTCTCCTCCACTTCTTCGAGATTATTATTTTTCTTAAAACTCTGAAACTACCGCGATATCTCTGACATCCTATCCCTCAATCTTCGAACAAGCCTCGAGCGATTTCTTCGATTACCTTCGATCTCTTGCAAACATTCGACGCGGAATTCGTACGCGGTTTATAAATTCTCTTCGATATCTCTTGATGAATGATCGAATTAAGATTCTTCGGAGATATTGTACCCGCTCACGTGACTCTCCTTTCCACCTGAATGGCCGCCGCTTCTGTTTACCTTTCTCTTTTCCACGCGAGAACCCTTCTCCTTCTCTCTCTCTTTTTCTTATCCCCTTCCCGGTAGCCCCTAAATCTTCCTCTAAACATAATAATAGAGTTTGAAGAGGATCTGGCGTGCAGCGGCGTTGTTGGAAAGTTTGATTAGCTCTCCAGTGGATGGAGGAGAGGGTCCACGTTCCATGAACGCGACGGGAGATTGGTTTTCGTGGTTGGTATTCCGTTTATATTTTCTCTGGGACGCCGATACGAAACTTTTTTAATTATAATTATCCCTTCTCTTCTTTATTCCTTTCTTCTCTTTCGT